CTATTGTGAAGTTTACGGGGTCAATCTAGGGCCATATACAGTTGAAGTCTGAATTATTCGCCATCTTCAATTTTTTTTCTTCTATTTTAAATATTTTCCTAATGATGTTGAACAGATTCAGGAAATGTTCACAGTGTGTCTGATAATATTTTTTCTTCTGGAGAAAGTCTTATTTGCTTTATTTCAGCTAGAATAAAAGCAATTATGAATTTTTTAAAAACCATTTTAAGGTCAATATTATTAGCCTCTTTAGGCTATAATTTTTCTGATAGTCTACAAAACAAACCATCATTATACAGTGACTTGCCTATTTACCCTAGCCTGCCTAGTTACCCTAATTAAGCTAGTTAAGCCTTTAAATGTCACTTCAAGCGGTATAGAAGTGTCTTGAAGAATATCTCTAATATTATTTACTGTCATCATGGCAAAGAGAAAATAAATCAGGTATTAGAGATGAGTTATTAACACTATTATCATTAGAAATGTGCTGGAGAAATCTGCTCTCCGTTTAACAGAAATTGGGGGGAAAAATAAACAGGGGGGGCTAATAATTCTGACTTCAACTGTATACTTAAAATAAAATCTCTAAAATCACAAAGCAAAAATTTATTTTTGAGAAATAACTGCAAAGGGAAAGTTAAGTTTTCAATAATAAAAATGAAATTTGCAAACAAAAAAAGAACTGCAAATAAAACTCAAGCAGTGCAAATAAAAAAACTAAAATATTTGCAATGAAATAAAAAGTATGTACATATTTGCAAAACATTTTTTATCGTCCAGTCAATTGCAGTGCTCATTTTGATTTGCTTTTTAGTCAACTGTGAGTTTGCGATGCTGTTTGCACTTTGCACTTCACATTTCTGCTTGTTTCACTTTGTGGCCAAGTTATGCGAACTTGGACATTTACAGCAGGCCCGGACCTACTGTAAGACCACCTCAGTGATACTGTGTCTCCAGGTGATGGCGTTGCTTAAATGGAGGCAGGTCCGGGCCATTGACTGGACGGGTTTTGTAAAAGCAATGCTATAAAAATGGTTTGCAAATATTTATATACAGTTGAGGTCAGAATTATTAGCCCCCCTGTTTATTTTTCCCCCCGATTTCTGTTTAACGGAGAGCAGATTTCTTCAACACATTTCTAATGATAATAGTGTTAATAACTCATCTCTAATAACTGATTTATTTTCTCTTTGTCATGATGACAGTAAATAATATTAGACTAGATATTCTTCAAGACACTTCTATACAGCTTAAAGTGACATGTAAAGGCTTCACTAGGGTAATTAAGGTAAAGTTAGGGTAATTAGGCAAGTCATTGTATAACAGTGGTTTGTTCTGTAGACTATCGGAAAAAAATGAGCTTAAAGGGGCTAATAATTTTGACATTAAATTTGTGTTTAAAAAATTAAAAACTGCTTTAATTCTAGCAGAAATAAAACAAATAAGACTGTCACCAGAAGAAAAATATTAGAGGAAATACTGTGAAAAATTTGCTCTGTTAAACATCATTTATGGAAAAAATAATGATAATTATAAATATAAATAATTAATAAATAAATAATAAATATAATTATATATGTTTTTTTCTTCTTTTTTCTTTTTTTTATTGTGAAAATTGCAAAAAAAAAAATCATTTTTATTTTCTCAAAACTTAATTTTCCCTTTGCAGTATTTTATTTTTGTTCTAAAAATTAATTTTCATTTCTCAAAAATTTATTTCCGCATTTTTAAAGATTTGCATTTATTTATTTATTTATTTATTTATTTTTTGCTCAAGACTTTATTTTTTATTTGTAAAACTTATTTTGCAAGTATATATGACCCTAGATTGACTCCAGAAGTTTATATTTGTTTTGACATGGAGGCTATCGTTCAGTCTTTTATCACTTCTAGGCTCGACAATTGTAATTCCCTGAATCTTGATGGGTCTCAATCTGCATTATCTTGTCTACCAGTGCTGGCAGCTTGCTAGAAATGATTGAAACTTGAAATATTGACCAGGAGAAAAGTTATCTACACACTCTGACTGCAAGTGGAAAATCATATACATTTAAGGTGTTGCTGTTTGTTTAAAGAAGACAGCATGGTCAAGCTATATACATATAATTTGTTATACATGTCTCTTGTTTTCAGTAATTGCTGACATTACAGTTTTCCAGGAGTGTGATGTTCTTTGAGCCTAGATCTCATCCAGAATTACAAGGAGAAGGCCCTAGATCCTGACTTATATCATATATTGGAAGCTTCAAATCTTATCTTAAGATTTAGTGCTGCTCGAAGTACACGCATTAGGCACATGTGTAGGTTTATGCATAGATATCCTAACAAAATAGTGCTCATGTAAAAGTATAAAGTTCTCCTTTTTGAAACTGCTTTAGTCAAAAGTACACCATTTTTTATTATATTATGTTATATATATATCACATAACATTATTATATAATTTTATATTGCATGAAAATTGTATTATCAAAACTGATAATCATATTGTGAAAAGGTTTATATAAGCAGCAATGTTTTTAATCACATAACCTATACAAAAAAACCTAACAAACAAAAAAAAAAGAGTTTAAATGTGTGCAGACAAAGTGAAATGTATATTGCAATGCTTAAATTAATCAACAATGCATCCAATGCAGTGTTTCACATGTCTAAGACTGATAAAAAGTAAAAAAATCCAGTCCATAATTATTGAAAAATACTCATTTTGTGTGTGTTTTTCACCAAATCAGTGACATCATTGGTGAACTTGGCAATTAAAGAGTTAAAATCTTGTACTTTTCTAAACAGTTCAGTAGTTTTGATCAAGATTGAGGTTAATTAACAGATTTATGCAAAAAAAATAGAAAATAAATCTTGTTCTGATGCATTTTACAGCAGTTTAATTCAGCGGATGTTTTCATCCCGTATAACAAAAGAGGACTCAATCTGAACAGTGCACAAGGGTTAACATTCGGGAATATATTTACTTCCATGATTTACACCAGGGGTGCCCAAACTCAGTCCTGGAGGGCTGGTGTCCTGCTGACTTTAGCTCCAACTTGCTTCAACACACTTGCCTGGAAGTTTCTAGTATACCTAGCAAGCTTGATTAGCTGGTTCAGGTGTGTTTTATTAGGGTTGGAGCTAAACTCTCCTCCAGGACCGAGTGTGGACACCCCTGATTTACACCCATGAACTGTAAAAAGCTAGTTTACACCTGAGCTGAAGCGCCACCTGCTGTGCGCTACTGGAAACACAAGTCAACATTTGGAGATCAGGCGTTTGAATGTAATTTTACACGTGGCGTAAAATGATCACAACATTACATTTATCATATATGATATGTCTAATATTCTCCTGCACTTGTGTGGCGTATATATTTAGCTTGTTTTGTTAAGACACGTCATCATTCCTCGCCTGCTGAGACTGTTATCCGTAGAAATAGAAGAAGTGGAAGTAGAAGGAGCGGCTGTTCGTTTTAAACTAGAATGCTTTAGGTGGGAGGGGTTTCATGGCTCAGATGCGGTCTCTGATTGGACAATATTTAATTGTCATTAACATAATAAATAGAGATCAGAAAAATTTTAATAAAAAGGAGATTAATAAGTGGAAGCTTATTAAGACTAAACATTTAAATGGCGACTATAATTAAATTTAGAACTACATTTTTAATTTAAATTTAATTTTTAATGAAATTAATTAATAAATAGGGCGACAAAGGGGCTCAGTGTTGAGCAGTGTCACCCCACAGCAAGATGGTCACTGGTTCAAGTCCCAGCTGGGTCAGTTGGTGGTTCTGTGAGGAGTTTGAATGTTCTCCCTGTGTTGGCGTAGGTTTCCTTCGGGTGCTGCGGTTGAGTTGGTCTCCTTAATAAATGTGTAATTGCGCCCCTGAGTTATCACCTAGCAGCCTACACGTGCACAAAGTCAAGTTTGCTAGGAGTTCACCGTAATTCTATTAACCAAGACTGCGCAATTATTCAATTTTAGCCTCCATGATTATGAAAAACAATATTCAGGATAAAACAGTTAAATTGCATCACACACCACCCGAAATTTCTCTACATCCATACCTCCTCAAAGTCCGACTGCAGTAAAATCATGTACATTGACTTTTGCAGCATGGGGCATGATTGCTGTTTGTATTATTAAGCATATACACTCATTCTCACACACACTCATACACCACAGCCAATGTAGTTCCTCAGTTCCTCTATAGCGCATGTGTTTGGACTGTGATGGAAATCGGAGCACCTGGAGGAAACCCATTACTGAAATGTCCCTACCAATAATTTAATAAACTTCAAAATAAATGAATGCTCAGTTGAGTATAATTTTATTTTGAAGGTGATTAAATTATTGGTAGGGACATTTCAGTAATTGGTGGCGTCCCCTCCGTCCATGCCAATTCTACTCGCTTGTTTCTAAGTAGCAATAAAGTAATGCATTACTTAATAACATAAGTAATAATACTTGAGTTACTTTTTAAAAAATGCAACGTTTAGTTTAATTAATAAGCTTTTAAAAGTGAATTGCTGAATTAAAATCAAGGTAGTCACGTTCAATCAAAAAGTACAAAAAAATATCAAACACGTTGCTTTAAACTTTCATTAATATGTATATCCCTACGTACAGGCTCAGGACGTTCTCATAAGATAACAATATCCTACATTAGTATTTTTATGTATTTTTAAAGATAAATGAAAGTTATTCAGTGCGTTGTAGATCACCTCTATTAAAAAAAAAACTCTACAAGTTCTGAAAATCAAGCCTCATTGAGTTAAGTAAAGTAACGCAAATGTAACGTAACGTATTACTTACCATGAAAAGTATTTAAGTAACGTAGCTAGTTACTTTTTTGAGGACGTAAGTCAATATTGTAATGCTATTTTCAGAGGTACAACCCCTCGATACCAATGTTTATTTACGTTGTGGGCCATCAGGCGCCCCCTAGAGGCAGCACCGGGTTTTGCGTCACACAGAAGAGCGTTATCACATTAGCCGACCGCATTAGCAGCTCAATGGTGCGGCGTCCGTGTGTTTATTAAATCATCTGGCGTCTGCAAGAGTGCTTCAGGGATGGAGGTGAACAGGGATGAAGCTGAACGCTGTATTGATATCGCTGTCGAGGCTCTGGAGGACTCGCAGCACGAGAAAGCGCGCCGGTTCCTAGAGAAAGCGCAGCGGCTCTTCCCGACGCACAGAGCCCGGGGTGAGCGCACTGAAACCCGGCTAATAATCCAGGCCGCGCGTGCTCTCTGCACACTTCATTCATGAGTTCAGATAAAACCGTGTAATGTGTGTCAGTCTGAAGAGCGCTCTTAAGATTAATGTTAGAAATATGAAAGGTTGTTTGTTAGTGTTTGTTGTTATTATTGGTGTTTGTGGTGATGATGAAAATGATGATGTAACTCTTGCATGCAGGTCAGATTCAGATGTCATGTTAATCTGGCTGTGTTCCAAATCACAGTCAGCTGATTACACAGTATATGAGTGCACTTGCTGATCATACCTGCTTTGTGTTAACTAACAACGCACAATACTTGTGCACATTTATTTGACAGTAATTTAACATTTATTAATGCGTTGTTGACATACTAATTCATGCTTGCTAACTTCAGTTAATGCACTAAGTTAACAGGAACTAATAATACATGACTTTATAGTTAATGCATTTATTATACAGTAGTTCAGCATTTAATAATGCGTAATGCATGCTTTTAACTTCAGTTAATGGACTGTCTGTTAAGATGAACTAATAATGAATGGCTTTATTTGATTTGACCAATGACTGTAAGGATTAATGCAGTTGCAAATGAAATTTAAAATGCATCAGTATAACAAAAAGGAAGCATTGCTATGCAAATAAACCAAATTGCTTGTCACATAAAACAAAACAAAAAAACGGCATGCACACACTCACACACTATCATGTTAATCTGGCTGTGTTCCAAATCACAGTCATCTTATTAGCCAGTATATTAGTGCACGTGCTGCAACTGTGATTGTCAAAAATGGTTTGTTAATATTAACGTTTTTACTAATAATGAACAATACTTGTGCAGCATTTATTATACTGTGGTACAAAATACAAGTTCAAGCTGGCTAGCGTATCTCTTGCATGCATTATTAATTATTGATTATTAATTGACAGATCTGCTGGAGTCTCTGGAGAGGAACGGAAACCCCTCGTGGTCTCAGAGCAGCGCCGGCGGAGCCACCGAAGGTACAGAAACACACCAGCGCAGGTCCGGAGTCAGCAGTAACGGAGAGAAACCTGCAGAATCCAGCAAACCATACACACCCGAGCAAGCCGACGCCGTCAGAAGGTGCGTCAGGAGATTCAGATTCATGCACAAACTCTAATATCACTTAAAACAATAGTCAATAAAGCAGCGTTTCTACTCGCTTCTATTTCTTTTTAGATTTAAAATGGCTAATTTTAGCACATAAACGTAGTTGACTGTGCAAGTTTTTAATGTTAAGACTTACGTCTTATTGATTTTATTTAAGCTAGCAAGTTTATTTCTATTAGCAAAAAAATAGTGCTCTGGAAAGATTAATAGCTATTAATCATTTTCTAAATAATAGTTTGTTTTGACATGATGTATGTGTATCTACAGTTAGGTTTATAAATATTTGGACATTGACACAATTCTAACAGCTTTGGCTCTATACACCAACACAGCGGATTAACTGTAGTGCTTTAACTGCAAACTATCAGCTTTAATTTAAGGGTATTTATTACAACAATTTGCATATGTGCCTCCCAATTGTTAAGGGTCCAAAAGTAATTGTGCAAAATAATAATCATAAATCAAACTTTCACTTTTTAATACCATCCTTTGCAGTAGGGCTGCAACAGTGAATCGATTAAATTGATAAAAAAACTATTACTAAAAGCGTTAGCAATGAATTTCGCAATCCATTCGTTTTGTCGCGCGACACGGAAACGTTTGATTATTAAAAAAACACTTTAGTTCAGAGCGGAGCGGAGTGAACATGGTCTCTCTCCGTCTCTCGCGCATTGATACAGAGTTCAGCGCCTCAAAAACGGGGATGAGGAGAAATCTCTACAGAATCCTAACTTTGTTCTGTTTTGAAGTGAGGACCGTGAAGTCCCTGGTGCTGGTGTTTTACTCGTTATCCAGCGTGACAAGCATGACAAGGTAGTGTTTACCCTTAGAGCGGGAGCTTTGGTGGGTTGGCTGGCGCTGAGCCAGAGAAAGACGTGTCATATCATCACAATTATGCCGCGTTTTAACCACCCAATGCTTATTTTATGTTTTAGACATGTAAATACACACACTTACTAGAGTTTGTAAAACACACAGGGAAGTCCAACAGTCCATTCAAATATAATATGCTGATGTGTTTTATTTATATCAGATGCACATGGTGAAAGGAACTATAAAGTTGAATCTACTCTAAGTTCACCAGCCACTACTTGTGCATGTATTTGGGGAGTAACTGGTGAATTTACGTGCTGAATCCTGCGTCTTCTGCTTTTATTGAGGCAAACGTGCGGCCACAAGCAAACACAGCGACGCCCATCTCACGTTATAGATCACGATCACTTAGATGTTTATGTGAACTGAATATCAGGTAGCTGATTACCAAGTATTAAACAGTGAACATTTGATTTATGATTATTATTCTATCCAATTACTTTTGGACCCTTAACAAGTGGGAGGCACAAATGCAAACTGTTGTATTTCCTACATTGTTCACCTGATTTGGATGTAAATACCCTCAAATTAAAGCTGACAGTCTGCAGTGAAAGCACATCTTGCTCATTTAGAGTCAAACCTTATTTTTATTTTGTATGCAAAAAATTAAATCATCACAAATGATTTATTTTGCAGAATAAAGCAGTGTAAGAACTACTATGAGATCCTTGGGGTACAGAAAGACGCATCAGAAGACGACTTGAAGAAAGCCTACAGAAAACTGGCACTAAAGTTTCACCCTGATAAGAATCACGCGCCGGGGGCCACAGAAGCATTTAAAGGTACTGCAAGCCACTTCTTCACATGAGTTTCTCTTCCTGTTAAGTCTAAAAAGAAATAGATATTTATTTTATACTACAGTGCTGATGAGTGCTGGATTCTGATTGGCTGATGAGGATTCTAAGATATTCAGATAAAGCACAGCTAAAGTAGTTCTGGCAGGTTTCAGGAATCATTTTCTGGAGGCTCACTTTAAACAATTCATTTAAATCAGTGAATTTTAGGTGCGTTCTACTTGAACCATGGCTTCAGCCAGTGATCAACAAGATTAGCTGAGCGCAGGCAGGGGTGGAGTTGAAAACAGAGCTGTCATGCCGGACACTTCAGGCCTCAAAGTTGCGGCAGTCATGATGACCAATCACATGGCTAGGGTTGTAACGGTATGAATTTTTCACGGTATGATAATCGTCTAAAACAATACCACGGTTTGACGGTTTCGCGGTATACGGTATGTTACAAATGTTACAAAATAATAGAACAGTGAAGCAAATTTGACTTTTTCCAAATAATATATTTTTAGTTACTATAAACAACACCACTTACAATGAACAAATAAAAAATAAGAAAATAATAAATAATGTGTCAAAGTCCAAATAAACATGGTGCAAATCCTCAGTAAAAAATAGATATAAATATTTACTATACTATAAATAGTTACATAACGAAACAAGATTCAATATGGAACATCCTTAGGTTCTATGTGCCAGCATGGATATGGTTGTCTGGATTTGGATGTGGTTGTCTGCAATGCAGACAAACAGCTGCACCTTCATTTGCGTCTTTTGAAAACAGCAAGAGCAGCACTTCGTCTTTGCTGTGTCACTGTTTTGTCATGTTTCTGTGCTGCTGTGCATACAAAAGTACTTAGTATGAGAATTATTTCATGCAAAACTTTTTTTTTGCGTTGTATTTAGCCGCGCATAAATGTATGCCTTTCTCTCATTCCGTGTTGTTCAAAAAGCTCATGTTGGTCCACAAACAAAAGCGAAACCTATGCTTATTGGTTTTGATATAGCGAGTTTGAACCAATCTGGGCATGGAGGAGGGACAATGCATCAATGTATCATGTCTGGTTTGTCCGGAGACACAGTGACGAGCGTTTCTTTGTCAAATCAGCGTTGTCAAATTTTGATGACGTAACCGCACTGATTCCGGAGCCTCTGAAAGTCCACAATAAAGCAGAATACACTGTCTATAAACTATAGTTCATTTTTAAAAAGGGAATTATGCATTAAATGTCTAACAAACGTGTGAGAGAAATAAAGGGAAACAAACGAACAGGCCGATTAAATACAAGGCAGTAAGCACAGACAGCCGTCATCTCTTACCTTATGCTGTGCGCTTCAGAGCTATCCTCCTCTGTTTTTGAGCTGATGTGCATAAGTAATCCTTTTATATGTCTGACGTGCTCCAAACACAGTGAATTATGTTTGATCAAACAAAAGAATAGTGAAATATGTAAACAATGATTGCTCCCTGTGGCTTGCACAGCACCTCTCATCAGCTGGAATACAATAACTTTTGAAAACATCGCGATGGACAATGGCATCGTCGTCATAGGCGGCAGTGAATTCATTCATTCATTTTCTTGTCGGCTTAGTCCCTTTATTAATCCAGGGTCGCCACAGCGGAATAAACCGCCAACTTATCCAGCACATTTTTATGCAGTGGATACCCTTTCAGCCGCAACCCATCTCTGGGAAACATCCACACACACATTCACACACTACGGACAATTTAGCCTACCCGATTCACCTGTACCGCATGTGTTTGGACTTGAAACCGGAGCACCCAGAGGAAACCCACATGAACGCATGGAGAACATGCAAACTCCACACAGAAACACCAACTGAGCCGAGGATCGACCCAGCAACCTTTTTGTTGTGAGGCGACAGCACTACCTACTGCGCCGCCATGGTGGTGAATTGTGATCCGCATGCTCTTTGTTTTACCCATAAACAAATCATACAGTAAATGAATGAAGATAAGTTACACACATAATTACCAGCTGTCAATCACTTTTTCCGCGGGACTCATGAATAGGTGCGAATAGGCAGAGTGATCTGTGTCGTTATAATGGCGACGACAAACTTTGTAGGTAGAAAAGGTGCACAACCAACAGGAACCAACCAACAGTATCTGAGGTGTTCACTAAAGTTACTAAGTACAAGTGTGAAAGTGAAAGATTTAAGCAGTGTACTGACCCGCTGGCTGCCTGGACCCGCTCTCTCTCGAGCACATGTCAGTGTGTTTGCGCCTGTGTGTGGTCACTTGATGTGCGTTTTTAGCGGTAGTGTGGAAAGAGGGCTGCTCAGAAATACTAAACACCAGTGTGGTTGTGGATCGTTTTCGTTCTTAAATGCATTTTAAAAACTAAGACCTATGAGTGTAAACAGGGCCTGAATGTGTATTTTTCGCGAGTGGATTTGCAACGGGGGCGGGGCGCAGGATCACGATGCCGGCTCTGCATTGTGGTGTCTATCGGCCAACGGCGATGGCATCGTCTATCGGCCCAACCCTAAAAGGTACACTTCCAAATCTGAGTTAATATATAAAATAAAGGTGTAAATAAATAAAATAAATTAATAAAAAAGGTGTTCATTATAACAGACAACAAATACAGATATATTTTAAACACTTTCAATAGTGTTTTATTTTAAATCATACCAAATTTTTGCATTTACACCTCCTCATGTGGATTTGGGAAGCTTTTAAATGTGGTTAGGCAAAATCCAGGCGGAAATCTCAAAATATCATTTGACTTAAGGAGGTTAAACAGATCATATGAATCAATGAATCATTTACTGGAGACTCACTCTGAATGGAGCATGTGAATCAGTGAATCATTTACTGGAGACTCACTCTGAATGGGGCATGTGAATCAATGAATCATTTACTGGAGACTCACTCTGAATGAAGCATGTGAATCAGTGAATCATTTACTGGATACTCACTCTGAATGAAGCATGTGAATCAGTGAATCATTTACTGTAGACTAACTCTGAATGGAGCATGTGAATCAGTGAATCATTTACTGGAGACTCACTCTGAATGAAGCATGTGAATCAGTGAATCATTTACTGTAGACTAACTCTGAATGGAGCATGTGAATCAGTGAATCATTTACTGTAGACTAACTCTGAATGGAGCATGTGAATCAGTGAATCATTTACTGGAGACTCACTCTGAATGAAGCATGTGAATCAGTGAATCATTTACTGTAGACTAACTCTGAATGGAGCATGTGAATCAGTGAATCATTTACTGGAGACTCACTCTGAATTGAGCATGTGAATCAGTGAATCATTTACTAGAGACTCACTCTGAATGGAGCATGTGAATCAATGAATCATTTACTGGAGACTCACTCTGAATGGAGCATGTGAATCAATGAATCATTTACTGGAGACTCACTCTGAATGGAGCATGTGAATCAATGAATCATTTACTGGAGACTCACTCTGAATGGAGCATGTGAATCAGTGAATCATTTACTGGAGACTCACTCTGAATGGAGCATGTGAATCAATGAATCATTTTCTGGAGACTCACTCTGAATGGAGCATGTGAATCAGTGAATCATTTACTGGAGACTCACTCTGAATGGAGCATGTGAATCAATGAATCATTTACTGGAGACTCACTCTGAATGGAGCATGTGAATCAATGAATCATTTACTGGAGACTCACTCTGAATGGAGCATGTGAATCAATGAATCATTTACTGGAGACTCACTCTGAATGGAGCATGTGAATCAGTGAATCATTTACTGGAGACTCACTCTGAATGGAGCATGTGAATCAATGAATCATTTTCTGGAGACTCACTCTGAATGGAGCATGTGAATCAGTGAATCGGACAAGACCTGTCAAATAAACCATGCAATATAAAATATGCACTCCGGAACATTGAATTATAAAATAATGCACACCCTATATGGAGATTATATATTACTATTTTTATTGTTATTTTTATTCAATTATCATTGTTTCTTTAATTAATTATTTTTTACAGGTTTGTCTCGTTGCAAAAGTTTAAAAGGCAATGTGGAAAGTCTCTCGCTATATCTGCCATTTCAAGTATATTTCAATCAATAAAGGCGAAAAAATGAGGAAAATAACACCCAGCAGCCACTCTGCTTCACCACATCGCCACCTCCAGCGTGCTTTTATTATTTAATAATTCAGCAGCTCTCATCGTTAATTATTCCTTGTATGCAGACGTGCAATAAAGAGCTGTGTGTCCTGATGAGGTGTGCTGTAATGTTGTGCATGTGTCCTGCAGCCATAGGAAACGCGTATGCGGTGCTGTCAAACGGTGAGAAGCGGCGTCAGTATGATCAGTTTGGAGAGGAGCGCAGCAGCGGCGGCGGCAGATCCAACCACACAAACACACAGTTCGAGGCAGACATCTCTCCTGAAGACCTCTTCAACATGTTCTTCGGTGGAGGATTCCCTTCCAGTGAGTATCCACAAGCTGAAGCACTCGGAGAACAACAGGGCTGCGTCCCAAATTACACAGTATACACTTAAACATTATACACTAAACACTCCTATACTATATCCTATACACTACATTATGCATGTTTACATTACATTATACACTATATACTGTACACTTATACACTATACACTATGCATATATACATTATACACTACACTATGCACTAAATACATTATACACACTTTACACTATGCTCTTATACATTATACACTATAGATTATGCTATAATGCGCTATACATTTTGCATCAGGGTTGAAGCTGAAATCTGCAGGAAGGTAGAGCTCCAGGAACAGGGTTGAGCCTGCTATATATTATACACTGTATACATAGTGTACATATACATTATACTTTGCACCTCCTGCTGGCAGAGAGTGGATCTGCGGCTCATTCAGCTCTGCTGTTCCCTTCACATGTTCTATAACAGTACTAATGTGACTGAGCTAATGTCTCACACCGTTCTGTTTCTGCTTGTGGTTAAATACTGCTCAGGCTGTATGTATAATGTGACATATTAGACTAAATGAGTTCCTGAGGTTCTAATGACACACACACACACACACACACACACACACACACACACACACACACGTATATATAAATATATATATAAGACATGAATGTGTTTGTTTCAGGTAATGTTCATATGTACAGCAATGGACGGATGCGCTTCAATCAACATCAGGGCGAGAGAGGAGAACACAGAGGGGTGAGAAATCTCTACTTTTCTTTAAATATATGTATAAAAAATTAGTTTAATTAGGGTAAAGTTAGGGTAATTAGGCAGTTATTGCATAGCAGTGGATTTTTCTGGGGACGATCCAAAACTAATATTGCTGAAGGGGCAATTTTGAGCTTAAAATGGCTTTAAAACAATTAAAAACTGCTTTTATTCTAGCCGAAATTAAACAAATAAAATCATTTCCATGTTCAACATCATTTGGGAAATATTTGGAGGAAATATCACAGAAGAGTGAATAATTTTGACTTCAACTATATATATATAATTGCAAGTTATTTTCTAGTCTTAATATTTTTCTAAATGAAACCTTACACTTCTTA